ATTATTATTATTATTATTATTATTATTATCATTATTATCATTATTATTATTATAATTATCCCAAAATTTTATTGACAATGACTTAAAAAAAATTTTTTTCTAACGGTTCATCAAAAAAAAAAAAAAAAAAATATAATTAAAATTAATTCGATATTTATTTTCGATTTATCGAATATCGAAAAAAAAACTTTTGCCGCGTTTTTTTTTTTTTTTTAAATTAAAAAAATTTAAAAAGGTTAAAAGGGGAGAGACACACATACCCCCCCCCCCCCCATTTTTTGTGGTTCATACGAAAGACGTTTCATTTTCAAAAAAACGACCTCTAATCATAATAATAATAATACTTTTATTATTCGATATTAAACTCGATTCAAATTCGAGAAAACGATTAATTGTTGTCAAAAAAAAAAAAAAAAAATTCTTTTCTTTTGTCGTTTTAATAATAATTTTCTATCGTATTGTTCGTTTATTATTTTCGAGATAAATCAACACAAGGATTTTCTTTTTTCTTCTGCTAAAGTTCGCGAGTATCTAAAAATCATCATCATCATCATCGTCATCGTTTAAAAAAAAAAAAAAAAAAATCGCTTCGCGAAAAAAAAAAAAAAAATTAGGATAACCTTCGAATCGTGTGCAAAATGGCAACCGTTTCATTGGTTGGGGATTTTGTTTTTTTTTTTCGGATGGACCTCATTCCTCTAAAGGTTTGTCAGGTGTTTAAATATACCTGAGGCTATTTGATGGTATGACAGTGCATTTTAAAAAAAGACAAAGCAACCAGGTAGGTGAAAGAACTTCTTCCATTGCCATTGAATAACACCAAAAAAAATTTATTTTTATATGGAATCTTTATCAGCGATTGTATTGTCGTCGTACCTTAAAAAGTTTTGATAGGTAACGACTCTCTCTAATTCGACCTTTTTCCAACCATATTCAAAAACAATTATATAAGTGAATGATGATGATGATGATTATTGTGCGATTGGGGTCGAATTTTCCTTAAAAACTATTATTATTATTATTATTATTTTAATAAATGTGATCGATCACACGCACCCTCAAATCTCAAAAAAAAAAAATTCAATAAAATTCCAGGATGAAGAAATGGGGAGAGAAAGGGGGGAGGGGGCGGTAGCAAAATCATATCGCTGGAATTATTTATATATATAAAATTACGCCTTCTTTTTAAATATTTTTAGAAATAATAATAATTCTTATATGCAAACACATCGACAACAACAACAACAACGACGGAAAAAAAAATGTCGTTAAAAAAAAAAAAAGTACACACCCTGTTCCAGTCGGACAGGTACATACCGCCTTTTTAATATTACAAAACTCTTCGACTAGTTCACGAGTTCTGGAAATTAATAATAATAAAAATAAAAAAAAAAAACTATTTAATTCCGTTATCTCTCGTATGATTGCGCTGCTGCAAAACGTTCGTACCTTATTTCTCAATTATATAAAAAAAAAACTTTTTCCTCGTGTTTAACATACGTTATAGATAATTATTTTACATTTCGTTAAAAAAAGAAAACTCACTACGTATGTGTCCGCGTGTGTGTGTGTGTATATATACGACACAATGAGAGAGAATACGTGAAAAAAAAAAAAAAAAAAAAAAAGAAACCTGCGGAGCACTTAGCGGAGGCGTACCTGAGACCGTACTCAGTCGGCTAGCAATAAATCGCTTACGATAAGCTTATGTTATAAATATAAAATTATTTTCTTATTGGTATTTCGTGTACCTCGGAAATCAACGCATTGAAACTTACGCGTTTCTAACAATTTTTTTAAAATTCAAATCGCGTTCATACTCATTATTATTATTATTATTACTATTTTTTTTTAAATGTAAATAAAATTCGATTCACCTTATTATCATTATTATTTTTTTCGATAAAATTACAATTGAGTAAAAGATAAAGTCAAAAAAAAAAAAAACCGATTCCCACCAAATCGTCCGATATTTCGATTAATGTTAATTTTCAAATTTTTCATCGAGTAAATTCACTATTATTATTATTATTATTATTATTAGGATCGGTAGGTACGACTTAAGTCAATAGGTACGATTTAGTCAATAAATAAATAATGTACGAATAAAAAAAAAAAGAAAAGAAATCAAGATATTCATCGTATTCGTAACTTTCCCTCTTTTTTAAATTATTATTCCGATTACCTTTAACCTTTACGAAAAAAACCTAAAAAAATTTAACCAAAAGTTTAACTTAAGTAAACTAAAGTAAATAATAATAATAATAATAATAATAATAATAAAAGAACCTGGCTGGCGCACAGGTTTTTCCTTATGCACAATAACAACAACAACAACGAGAAAAAGTTTTTTCGCTTGCTTCATTTAATTTAAATCATAATAAAAACCTACTCGCTCATGTTTACCTTATGTAAAACTGTGAGTTATTTAAAAAGAAAATTTATCGTAAAAAAACGTTTCCAATAACCGAGAAGTCGTAGTCATCGTCATCATCATCATCATCATCTCTTTTTCTTGAAAAGCAGGTACGAAGCCTAAATCTGGACCCATACATACATACATACCTGGAGGTATTTTAGATTCTGGCAGTGTATCTTTGACCAACAACAACGCTTCAGGCTATTTTCTATTATCAGTGAAATTTTTTTTTTTTTTTTATGTGTGTGTGTGAGTGTGTGTACCTGTGTATGTGTATTTGGTGTATGTGTTAAAAAAAAAAAAAAAAAACGTTTTGTGATATCATAAGTGAAAATACGATTTTTTTTTCTCATAATACTTTCTCATAATAATAATAATAATAATAAACTTTTCCGGAACTTTTTCATTTATAATTTTGTTGTTGTTGTTGTTGTGTAATTTCCGTTCGATTTAAAAAATTTCTTTTTTTTTTATTTATTTTTACGAGTAACGGTTGCCATATTTTTCGGTGCCATTTTTTTTTTTTTTTTGTTTTCGGTTTATTTTATACCAAAATCGTTTTTAAATAATTTTTCGTAAGACAACGATCACGTCCTTGAACTTGCCATAAAGTATTTTTAATGTTTTTAAATATTTTCGCGGGGGGAAAATAATAATAATAATAATAATAATAATAATAATAATTTTTTAACGTTCGATTACGTCGTTTTTACGTAATTTTTTTATATAATAATTTTTATTATTATTATCATCCGACGCGTTCGAATTAAAATAATAATAATAATAATATTAGTCGTTGTTGTTGTTGTTGTTCTTACTACTACCAATAATAATAATAATTTTAAGTAAGTAAAAAAAAAAAATTCCATAGATTTCCATTTAAGAATTTTTTTTTTTTTTTTTTTTTTTGGAAATTTAAAAAAATTTTTGAACACTTACCATTTTTATTTTCGTGTTGTGTGTTGGTGGCGATACGATCAGGTACTTTAAAGTATTATTATTATTATTATTATTATCAACAAAATTTCAAGAGAGAAATTTTACGGATATACCTGAAAAAAAAAAAATTAAAAAATTAAAAATAAAATAACGGTCAATCACAATAGTGTTGATGGTAATGGTGGTGGTTACACAATAGAAATCTAAAAATAGAAATTTTTTCCTTTTTGTGCGTGTGCGTGTGCGTGCGTGCGTTCTCGAAAATTCTCAAAATGTTTTTTTTTTTTTTTTTTACCCATCATTATTGATTTTATCGATCGTGAAAATTATTTAAAAATAATAATAATAATAATAATAATAATAATAATAATAATATTTTAACCAACTGCGTAAAACATTTAAAATAAAAAATTTTTCGGGATTAATTATTATTATTTTCCGTCGGTTATTATTATTTAAATTTTTTTTTTTTTTTTTTTACTCTCCCTTTAAACTTTAAATACACTCGAAATATTTTTATTTATTTATTTATTTAATAACATGATAAATCACGAATGAATTATTTAAAAATTTTTTTCTAACGGTATCGAAAACATTTTTTAAAAAAAACCTACAACGTTTAACTAGTTTGTTCATGATTTCTTTTTTTCTTTCTTCTCAACGCTTAAATTTATAATAATTATTATTATTATTATTAAAAATAATTTTTTTCGTAAGGATTCGATTCGTAACGGGAGAATTACTAATAATAATAATAATAATTCGATATTAATAACACGTCGGAAGAAGGTTTAAAAAAAAAAATTTATATATGTACGTTACGTGCGTACGCACGCACTTAAGAATTATCGTCCTTCCGTTAAACGAAAGCAAAAAAAAAAAGAAATTAAAATTCAATTAAGTAGTCGATAGATCGATCGATCGATCCATCGATCCATCGATCAATGTGGTTGTACGAACAACATAAAAAAAAAAAAATAAAAAACTGTCACATTAAAAGCAATCTAACAAGTTTTTATTAGTCTTTGCGTATTGAATATTAATATTGATGAGATAGCAGACGAAATAATTGGCAGATATTAAATAATAATAATAATAATACATAAGAAAATCGGTTGGAATTTTCCACGTTAAAAAAATTTTAATGGGAATAATAAAAAAAAAAAAAAAATCGAATGATTGCTCTCATTAACTTTTGTTTAAAAAAATTACATCTTGGCACCACCACCACCGTCACCACCATCACCATCACCATCGCGACCACCACCGTCACCATCGTCACCATCACCACGAATTTTATCGACACAATTTTTTTTATTTTTTTCTTTTCGAAATAAGAATGCGTTAAGAAGAAGTGCAAAGGTGGAATTAGGAGCGGTTTTTAATTTCCATACCACAATTTTTTCTATTTTTTTTTTTTTTTAATAGTATTTTAACAACAATTGTAGTCGGTTGTTGTTGTGAATCTCTATCGGGTTGTTAACCTTTTCAACGATTAATAAATAAATAAATTTTTTTTTATTGATTTCATTAAGGAACGAGGGGAAAAACAGAAAACGAAAAAAAAGAAAAATTCGCGGTAAATGTTTTTGTTTAATGAAAAAAAAATATCATTTCCGGATACGAGGGGTTTATTAATAAAATGGACGAAGAATCCGCCATGTCGCCGTTAGACGATTGTCCGGAAAGTTCCGAATCGAATCAATCTTGCGACAAACAAATGATCGATATAATTAATTCCCATCGTCAAAACAATCACAACAATCCTTCCATAAATGGTAATAAAATAAAAAAAAATTTTTTATAAAGATTTCGATCGTACGATAAATGATTTTGAAAAAATGATCGCCATTTTAAAAAATCGCACAACCCACCCCCCTACCCCCCCTCTCTCTCTCTCTCTCATTGTGCAATCATCATTATTTATTATAATTTTTACGAACCGTAATTAAATACAGTTATAAAAAAAAAAAAAAACAAACACCCTCCATTAAACAAATTTTTTTTTCTTCAGGTACGACAACAACAAACCAAAGACGTGAAAACATTTTAAAAACAATTCGATCGGAAAACTCGTAATCATTGATAATTTTTTTTTTTTTTAATCTGCTTCCGTTTTAAAAACCTACTCGAATAATAATTTACAAACAAGTTCATTCTAAATAAACTATAAATTAAAAAAAAAAAAAAAAGGTTTTACAAGAATTTCAAATCAAGTCGTTTGAGGTTGGTTGTTTGGTATATAAGCAAGCGTACACCCGTACAGGTTCTATGACCCCTTCCGCTCTACATTTTCTCAAAATGTCATGCCAAAACAAGTAGAAAAAAAAAAAAAAAAACAAATTCAAAATGTTCTCTTTTTTTTTTTTTTGATTTTTATCTGAAAATTAATTGACACTCGAATACCTCATCATGCGTGCACGCATATACATGCGTATGCTCTCTTACGCTTGCGAGGCGTGTCTTTAAGATAGCAAGTCAAAAAAAAATCGGGTATGGAAAATACATACGTGGTAGCCAAACAAAACGAAAGGAAATAACGAGAGAGAGAGAGAGAGAGAGAGAATAGCAGAAGACTCATCATAATAACAAAAACAAAAAGTGCGACCATTTCAAAATCATTTATCGTACTCGACTCATAATTTAAATAATTATCAAATTTAAAATTTTATTCAGATGTAAGAATATTAAACGTTAAAATGACCGGAGACGGTGGCAATCGTAGTAATAATAATAATAATAATAATAATAACATAGATGACGATTTATTAAATTCATCATCATCACCGAATAGACAATTAATGCATCAAGATTCGTCACCTAACGATGGTCTCATTAGTAATAATAATAATAACAATAATAGTAGTAATAACAACAACAACAATAATAATAATACTAGCACGAATAATAATAATAATAATAATAAGAGAAAAATCGAATTGGAAAACGATATTGATACGGATGGTAGTGCTTTGAGTCCGAGAAAACATATAAATACCGGAAATAATAATAATAATCAAGTTGCATTTGTTCTCATGGATCAAGATGAACTTCAAACGAGCGATGATAACGAGGTAAGATTTTTAAATCTACCAAAAAATATCCTAGAGTAGTAATCCAATTCTCACGTGTCATTAACTACCGGAAAATTCAATCGTTTAACACTAATAATAATAATAATAGCAGCGAGAACGATGATGATGATGATGACGATTGGATTCAATTTAAAATTTTGAGAAAAATTTCGAGTGTTGAAGTATTGCAATTATCATACATTTCATTTACTTATTCTAAGTTTTACGAAACAAACAAACAAACAACGACAAACGGAAAATCGTCTGGTTGTTTCCAATTTAAAATATTTTTAGCATAATTAACCGGAAAAAAAGAAAATAATTAAAAGATTTAAACGCTCTCTCTCTCGAACCTTTCGTAACGGTTTTTTTTAAAAATATTATTATTGTCATCGTTTTTTTTTTTCTTGTTTGTTGTTGTTGTTGTTGTTTTGTGTAGTTTGTATATAAACGAAGAAATAATAAAACAATTACGTTTTATTATTATTACGTTTTACGGTTTAATTTTATAATAATATTAATTTTTTTTTTTTAATTTTATTTTCATTCATCGTACGTGACGAAAATGATTTCGCCTAATGCCACGAAAGTGATCGTAACGTTAGTAAAAAAAAAAAAAAAAACGCGCGAAAATTTTTTTTTTCACCGGTAAAATTCAAATTAAATAAACAAACAAAAAATAATAATGAATAATTAAGAATGAATGAATGAATGAATGATTGGAAAAACGTTTCGATTGGGTGACGTTGTATAAAAAAAAAAACAAAATTATTTATTCTCGCAAAATTTTCTAGAAAAAAGTTTCAAAGGCATTTTGGTAATTGTTTGTTTCGAATCGTCGTAAAACGGAAACGACAAATTTTTTTAATGTTAAGAAAGGTGTGACCCACGAGAAAACGTTACGTCAGTCACGTTTTCGATCGAAAGATCGAAAGCGTAGCAAAATATTTTTTTAAAAAAAAAATTCATTCTCGCAAATTCTTCGAAAAATTTTTTCGAAAAAAAAAAAAAAAAAACTTTTTTCAAGGTCAAATTACGTAAAAACCCGCGCGAGCGCAAAAAAACAAAAAAAAATTTTATTCGTTCGACTCGTTGAAATTTTCCAACGGGTCAAATGTCAAATTTATATATTTGCCTCCGCCATATTTATTCCTTCTTATTCATTCAACTTTTGATGACGTGTAATATCATTCCTTAACATTCATTCGCGGTCTTTCATCCCTCTCATCGAAAGAGAAAATTTTTTTTCGAATCGTTTTGTTAATGAGATTTCCCTTCCCACCCCCCGAGGGCAACGTTACGATAAAAAAAAAAAAACGAAAGAAGGTGTTAAACCCCCGAAGGAAACTAGGATATACCCGACGACGTGGCTATTATTTTTGCTACCGTGCGAGCCAAGTCACGAAGCTCATCGCACGGTTGCTGTCGAAGGCACGCCCGAGGCAACGTAACAACAACAACAACAAACAACAACAACAACAATCAAAACCTTCATTCATTATAACTTAATATAAATAAATAAATATATATATTAATTTTCATTTCAAATAATAATAATAATAATAATAATTTATTTATAAGCTCGCTTATTTATTCGAAAGTTTCGTTCGTCGTACGCAATCAAACATTTTCGTTTGTACCTGACAAATTTTTTTAATTGTGGTGGGATCCCCAAAAAGGCAAAGGATCCCACCAAAACAAGAAATCGAGTCAAAAAATCCATTTTTTTTATATTCTTTCAATCATCCAAATTTAGCGACGGTTCAAATCAATTTTCGTCATTAAAAAAAAAAATATTTCGAAAAATAATTATTAACGCAAAAACAAAATCGATATTTTTTATATCGAAATTTTTTTATTTCGATCTATCGAACACGAAAAAAAATCGATTTCTATAAATTTTAATTCGCGGTATGTCGTCTGTCATTTTAAATCACAATTATACCGACTTGAAAAATCAAACAATGGAACCTGGAATTTTTTTTTAAAACAAAACAGCTTCATCATTAACAACAAACCTTTTTCGCATATCATTTTTATACATTTTTCCGCCATTGTTTTCTTTCCTTTTAAAAAAAAAGGTTTAATTAGGCTTTCGATGAGTTTTGTAAATCAAAAAAAAATTTTTTTTTTTCATTGTAACCTCTCTCCGACATTACATTCTCATGTTTAACGATATATAAAATTATTTAATTTTTTTTTTTTTATGTTGGTAGTACGCACGTGCGAGCACACGTAATTTCGCATACAAAAAAAAAAAAATTCGACTTCATTAATATAAATTCATAAGAGAAAAAAATTGATGCGAGATAGTCAGAGGTAGACAATGAAAAGAAATTTTTTTTTTCTATCTATCTAGTGACCAATTACGGAGATGATAAGTTTCTTTCTCTCTCTCTCATTCTCCCGCCCGCCCCCCCACTCTCTTTACCCTTTTCATTTATTTCTTACACACGATGATTAATGCGTAAAATCAATGTGGCTTCTTTACCCTTTTAGGTTATACCCGAAAATGAGGTTTTGATATATATCTTCGGTTGGTCGGTCGGTCGGAAGATATTTTAACTAATATAATTATTAGGCGCCTTTGCAAAGGTACAAAAAAAAAAAAAGTATAAATGATGTTATCAAAGTTATTTCACGCGTCATCATCATCATCATCATCGTCATCTTTTCTTTTAATTTTTTAAGGTAAAATGACACGAGGATTTACATACTCTTCGTACGCGAATGTACCATCGAGGAAAAAAAAATCCACGCACGCATACGCAAAACGGAACTCGTAAAAAAAAAAATTATGTCGCACATAAAATGAGAGAGAGAGAGAGAGAGAGGGGGGGGCGGGTTAATTAGTTGAAAAGAGAGAGAGAGAAAAGAACTTTCTTGTGTTTTCGGACCGATAATCCATAAATTAAAAAAAAAAAAGTTATAAAATACGGTAGTAGTAGTAGAAGTAACTGTGCATTTTCATTTTATTCTCTTTTTTTTTTGATTATGTTTCACAAAGATAGACGCGGTGATAATAATAATAATAATAATACCGAAATAAATGATAAACAGCAGACGAAAAGACACGAGAAACAGAGAAGAAGAAAAAAATGTTAAAGATTTAAAATTATCGTCATTTCACACGCACGCCAACCGGGTTAAACTTGAACTTGACAAGAATAATTTTTGTTTGTACGCGAATATGACCGCTTAGTATTGTGTACATCAATATATTAAACTAGTCTCTTAGTTACACGATTTTGACGTGTCTTTAGATGTTTTTCGGTAAGAAAGAGAGAGAGGGAGACCACCTATAGTAAAAAATCTCACTTCCATCATAAATAATACAGCCTCGAGTGTTTTTGTCCAAAAAAAAATTTAATTCTCACACCGTCGCTTGAATTTTAAACGACAAAAAAAAAGGAAAAAAAAAAAAATTATTTTAACCTGAACCAGTTGTTGTTGTTGTTTGTTGTTGTCTAAATATTTAAAATTAATTAGTAACCAAAAAAAAATACATATATTTATTAAAATAAATTTTTATGTGTTTAAATCGAACCCAACAACGAAAAAAAAACTTTTTTTTTATGGCTACTACCACTTCCGGGAAAATTCATTTACTTATTATTATTATTATTTATCCCGCGTTTTTTATTAATTTAAATACGTGATAATTTTTTCGAACAATTTAAAACAACCAAAGTTTGAATAGGAATTCGACAAACAATACAAACGATAAAAATTTCAAAAACAAACGAGTTTCAGTTGACGCACATGTGAAACTTTTCGATTCGTTTTCGAGATTTACGAAGAGAGAGAGAGAGAGAGAGAGAGAGAAAGCCGATTTAAATGTTATTGCAAAATTATATTTAATTAAGGTCCAATCAAGGTTAGATTCCATTTAAGGTACGACCGAACGTCGGAACTTTTTTTTTTTATTTAAAAAAAAAAAACTCGATTTCGAACGACTCGCGCACGAACGCACGCACGTATACGAGAATAGAAAAATGGCCGAAA